GATACCGTGCTATGGAATATCACCATCTTAGCATTCTGTACTGGGGTGATAAATCAACATGTTTATTATGTATTTTTAAAGGGAGAGGTAGCTCTTTTGGTATATATATATTACTTGAAATATATACGTCGATTTTTAAGTAATGGTGATCTCTATTTTATAGATAAAATTATCTTCCCGCTTATATATATATATATTTGCATCCGCACTCATGGACAAAACTTAAGGAAGTTGTACCATTTAGCATGTATATCGGGATTGAGACAATAACTATGTAAGATATTACAGTGACCTTTATTGAAGTTACAAGAGATTACCAAGTGTGAACAAAATTGCCTCTGTCTCCTTAAAAAAAATAGACGACCGGCAACATCAAAGTATGAAATCTCTTTAAGTTTTGTCCATGAGTGTATATCACGCCCATAAAAAAAATTCCTAGTAATTTTTCCAGCTAAAAAAATCTTTGGGAAATTCTGAAGATTCTTTTAATCCCTTGTGGATTTCATGAAATTAAGACAGTTCTAAACTGACGAGGGCCATTAGCCCGAAACCACGGTCTCCAGGTCGGTCTTGGAGGACTTGAAAGTCTTTTATTTTAAAATGTCTTCAAGAAGAAAACTTGAAGTTTACTATTCATAATGGGTAAATATGTTTATAAGTTGTGTAAGAACTCTCCTTATGCAAATTTTATTCCGTAGTTAACATTACACTTTTCCTCAAGGAAGTTAATTAACTTGCTGTGACTAAGTACAGAAATATTCGGTAACACTGACGATAGTTTGAAACATCTGTGAGTTAATCACAGATTAAAATGATTAAAATGAACTTTTTGATAAATATTTATTATAAACTAAAAATATATTACCTTTGACAACTTTTACCACAAATGTTTCTTTTTAACGAAAAATCGTAATTTATTTTAAGGAAAATTATGACTATTTCTATCCTTAGGAATGAAGTATGAAAGGATGAATTGTGAAGAGTAATGATAAACGGAAAAATAAAAGTGTCCGGGGATGGGAACTTGTCAAACGTCGTTTTAAAATCATAAGCCGCATTATATTGTCTTCTTCTTCTTTCTTATCTCCACACTGGGTGAAGTAGAATGCGTCTGCCTTTGTCATAAAGACTGGGAGCACTACTCAGTGGCAGGCCGACTTAGCTAAAAAAAAAAAAAATAGCCACCTCTGACATGAGGAACAGACACCATGTGCAGCTGCTCCTAACATGGAGTACAAACGCTGCTCATCCTGTGTCCCTGGATCAGGAGCCTTTACAGGGTACTATCAGCCGGGCCAGCTGAGCCCAGGTTTTTTACCGAGCTTGTTACTGCTCCCCCTCCTCCTTTTTCATCCGGGCTGCATTATATTGTATTATATATTACCTTTAGACACCGAAAATCATTACAATTTTAGATGGTATATGTATATCACATATATACATATGTTATAAATAAAGATGAATGAGATTTTCTGCTTGAATTTAGATCATGTTGAGGATTATGGTAGGGTAATGCAGTCGTGGTTGAAATCCTTAAAGTATGATAATGAAAAATAGTTTTGATCAGTAATTTAATTGAACTAAAGGAATATATATAAAAGAACATAGTTTAATAAAAGTGCCTGGCTTAAGGCGAGTAGAATAAGGAAAACAAAAGATTATTTAAATAATGTACAAAGATTTGAGCCGGCCATTGGGATAAAACAACAACGAGTTTTAATAGGGGAAGAGTGACCTCTGGCGGTCGATTTAGCAGAGTATCTGTATATATGAAATTATCATTTAAAATAAAATAATATTTTATATAACATACATATTAGCATCAACCTACCTCTTCATTCAACACATGCTTTCCCACATAGCGTCCTCCCTTCAAACTGATTCATTCATTGAATTGTCTCTATGTAGAAATATATTGTAACAAAGTAGTCAACTTCTCTCTTCAGCTCTGGATGATGAATTACTGATTGTTAGATACTTTAAGTTCTGCACAGAAGCTGGGCGCATGAGAAAGAATGCAGGGCAAAGGATACTGGAGGATGAACTATCTGTAAATAGGTAACTGAATGTGAGACAAACTTTATTTTTGTTGTAAATGTTTCCTCTTCCCTCTCCTCTTGTTGATGTGTAAATACGGCGAATCCTATATGGGGCGGAATGCCCTAAATAAAGGCTTTTGTTGTTGTTGTTGTTGTTTTTGTAACAAAGTATTTATTATTTTATTAACAGAGTATCATTTTTTATGTTTATATTTTACTACTCTGTAAACTTCCCTCATTGCTTATCTTTTATCATTCATAGTTTGTTCTTGCCTTGAATAAATGGCTGTGTCATCCTTCTTTCCACTATTGTTATGCATTATTGTGCTCATTATACTCCAGGAATCCGGGTTACCTCAATAGAGAAAGAAAGCTGTCTCATCCTGAAGTTTGTCTTCCCTAATTTTCCACGTGGCAATATACATATTAAAATAGAAGTATAGGGCGCTTCTCCCATCAAAATAAACGTCAAAAACTGACGCCATCTATTGACCGTCGCCGCAACTAGCGGCCTCGGGTCGGTGACAAAGCCACAACACCATCTTTGGTAAATCGATGGCGTCTAGTTTTGACGTTTATTTTGACGGGAGAAGCGCCCTAAGCTTTTATGGATCAATTTCCTCCCGGCAATTTTTCCATCTATATATTAAAATATAATGCTAATACATATATATAGCATACACACAAAAGCCTTTATTAAGACACACAGGTCTTACAGAGGATTCTCCTTGGGGTTACAAGACGGAGAAACCTATGAAAGTGGGAAATATACAAAGGGGTAAAAATGGAGAAAGGTTATATACATATGGTAAATATATGCAGATTATTATTTGAATAATCCTATGGAAAATAAGAAAAAAAATTGGAAATATGGATGGGAGAAGTGGAGAGCGAAAAGAGGAAAGAAAACAGGTATTTACATATGGAACAAGTTAATTTAAGATATATATAGCATACATAGTCCATGGTAATATGCATATATCCTTGGTTGTTAGCAGTTCAATAAGTCCATTATATATCCACTAGTCTGGTTATGGCAGTTATATAGGGTCTATAGAAAAGATCATAATACATATGTCCAAGGTAGTCTAGTGGACATGGCATCTACCCGGTAAGCGGAACACTGTGGGTTTGATTCCCATCCCTGGATACTTTTATTTTTCCGTTTTTCATTACTCTTCACAATTCATCCTTTCATATTTCATCCCTAAGGATTAGAAATAGTCGTATTTATCCTTAAAATGAAAATAGGATTTTTCGTTCAAAAGAAACATTTGAGGTAAAATTTGCCAAACGTCGTTTTACATTATAATACATTAAGTTAATACAAAGCAATAACATGCCGTCTATGTGTATGTATATAGGGGATGAAAACATTGAGACGCGATTGTTTTTTATACATATAAATCAAATTTCTACTGCCCTTACTGGATGAAAAATATATTGGGAGGGCTTGGTTCATCAGTGGTGAACCCTCCAAGCAGTTTCGCTAATTTAATCTACCAGACCGCTTCTTATTGCTCTAATAATGTATTGGATCATTCTGCTTCTATATCCTACACTGAAGAGTAAAATCTCAGAAATTGTATTTAAGCAAACTATGGACATAAGCTTTTAGGACAGTAGAATTACATGTAAATATTTGTATCGAGCAATTCTGTTCAGATTGATATTTAACTTCCACCTGTTGTTACATAATAGTTAAAATTCTAGCTGTTTTTCATAATGTTCTTTTGTTTGTAAAATTAATTAACTTTACCGCGTGGCAAGTATGTAAATTTTGGATAGCTTTGTTAAATAAAATCAGTGTGTTTGTAAACTACGCCCGTGTGTGGGATTCCTTTATAGAATAACTCTCCCTTTGTGATTCAACGAGTGATCGCCTCAAAACAATTACAGTCCTCAGAAGGTGGCGGAGACATAAACCCTTGGTACTACTTGTAAGCAGAACACCGCCTCCAGCCAAGGTTAAACAAATTTGGTCCCTCAAGCCGGATTCTAAAGAAGCTAAGAAAATTGAAGAAGAAAGAATTCCGAAAACACTAAGGACAAGGCCAGTTAAGCAGAAATTAATGTAAAGCAATAACAGAATGTGTGAATATATATAGGGAATGAAAACATTAAGACACCAATGTTTCTTTTATATATAAGTCAAATTCGAAGATTGAACGCGGCTGATTCCACACTAGCCGTCTCAATGATATCCTAACCTTGACATACTCTAAACATTGGTACTTTTAATTTAAATATTTAATCATGTATGGTTCCTTTTGCTCTGTATGTTTATTTTTTTTTATATATATGGCTATATTTCTTTTTGTTTGTTTTTTTCTTTCTTCTCTCTTTTCTTTTTCCTTATTACTTCTTGTATTTTAGTTTTTGCTTTTGAAATATCTTCCTTTGCTAAATCCCGTAGAAGGGAATCATGTATAGGGCTGGATACCCCAATAAAAAGGCTTGTGTGTGTGTATATATATAAGTCAAATTTAAACTGTCCTTACTGCATTAAGAGAAGTGCCCATCTGGAAACCATGGTTTCGATATATGTGATCCTCGTGAGTCCAGGACGAACTTTAAAAAGAAAATGATAAAGTACAATTTGAATTATAAATTATAATAAAAGAAAATAAGAACTAATCCAAATAATTTATTAGTGTGTGACGTTTCGGTAACAACATTGTCACCATCATCAAACAAAAGAATAAAATGAAATGTTCCCGCCCGGGATCAAACCGAAGACCTTGTGCGTGTGAAGCACATGTGATAACCGCTACACATTTTATTCTTTTGTCTGATGATGGTGACAATGCTGTTGCTGAAACGTCACACACCAATAAATTATTTGGATTTGGTCTTATTTTCTTTTAATATTTTTTAAAAAGAAAATAAAATTAATTTAGAGTAAAATCACCGTAACTTTTAATGTTTCAGGCCAAGATACATTGTGAGATATTCCCTCGAATCTATAGCACGCAAAAGAAGTTATTATATGTGTGATGTAACTCAAATTTGAACCAAAGAAAATAATTTTCACACTTCGACTATACAACAAGGTTATCCCAAAAGTTCGTAAACACTTGCAAAAAATTGAAATACCAATAGTATTCGCTGTTATGTATAACAAGAATACCCTGTTTGTTCTTCGAACAAAATGATACAAAAAAAATGATAATAATATAAATGAGTTTTAAAAATTGTAAAAAAAAAAAAAATTGCATCGGCCGGGAATCGAACCTGGGCCGCCCGCGTGGCAGGCGAGCATTCTACCACTGAACCACCGATGCTTATAAGAAATGGCCATATTTGGGTATTTATTCCATTCACAAAAGCAAACGATGACAGAATTGATTGTTGATGACTCTGATACTTGTATATTTTAACATGCCTTTGTATTATGTATAAATTAATTGTATTATGTATTATTATGTATTCGCCGTAATAATATTATTAACCAAGTAATAATAAAAACAAAGTTTTGAGAAAAACACGAACTTTTAGAACAACCTTATATAATAAAATTCACCAAACCTTCGGCAATCTATATAAAATAAAAGAAACTACAACGATATGCAAAAGTTAACAAAAAAAATAATCTTATTGGATTGAAAAATATTGAAGGATTGAACAAAATGTGTTGTAATAGAATAGCATCTCCATGAGAGGTTACTCACGCTAGAAGACATCTCAATACAAAGGACAGTTTTAATCGCCAAATTTGTCATTTTTATCTCTATTAGATATTCTACATGGCTCTCTAAAGGACACTTGTTTTGTTTATATATTTATAAACCGTTATCAAAATCGTTACTCCAACATCCCCAATAGACTACAGAGACTTATCATAGAATCCATCATATCCAGAAAGCACAAAAGCGTTGACAGAAGAATAGATATTCCGAAAGTTTATAACATAATATTCCCTGAGCCCACCCCATAACCTCCAAGTGAAGCACGCGCAACAGAAGCCCGCGTTGATTATGCCTTAAAACAAATGTAAACAATAAATGGACTTTACTTAATTTTAAATCTTATTTTATTGGCGTATTAATCATGTAAAGCATTTTCTCCCGTAGAAGGGCTTACTTGCCCGAAAGCTCGAGATATTTTTTAAATAAAAAATATTTTTAAAAGAAACTTTTCCCTGGAGGCTTTATGTTTTTTTTATTTTAAAGGACACTTAGGCTGAATATATTCAAACAAAATAACTTCCTCTGCTATCTTTACTGATATTTAAAAATATTTGAAGGGCCTGACTCATCAGTGGTGAACCCTCTCAGCGGTTTCGCCAGTTTAATATATCATTCCGCTCTATTATTATATTGTTCTGTTTTGTTTACATAGCTGCGGTCATTTAGACCGATCTCCTGATGAAGTTATCTAAGGAAAAACTGTGTATATAAAACTTTATATAATTAAAGACTTAAAAAAGGTAAAGAAAATCGTGAGACAAAGTTTATTGTAAGGTATATTTATATTAAGGTATAAGGTATATAAAATTTAATTTCCTTTGTAAATATATTTTGGATTTCATTAAGAAAAATGGTCTTTGATGTAACGATCTCAAGGAAATATGGGACATATTATATGGTTGTAAACAATATATAGGTGTATGCGTGTATATGTGTGTATATATGTATATATTTTTTAATTTAATGATGTAACTGTAAATAAAATTCAAAGAATATCTCTATATGTAAATAATATTTATGAATCTTTCTAAGTCGCTTTCTGTGTATCTTTCCATGTTGAATATTTTCTTTGTCATATTTGTATGTACATTTAGCGCAAGTGTCCCTAGGGGGACATAGCGTTTTGAATTGAAATAAATAAATAAAAAAGGTATATGTAAATATGTGTAAATATATAAATATATATAAAACAATCTGTCCTCTTATTATACTTCTTATTTTTACTTCTGTAGAAGATCAGAAATGTCCGAAAGCTCGGCTAAATAGAAACTTTACAAAAAGTAAGTGTTTTGTGCTTGTCATTAATATTTAAAACACATTTAAACTTTATATATTTTATTCAATATAGATCAAAATTACATAACCATCACATTTAATTACATAACCATCACAAACAATTATATATCATAACTATATAACATTAAGCCATCTATTTTCAGTTTTGTTTTCGTCACTGGTTCAATATTTTTATTTTCACAGACTAAATAATGAGATTAATGTGACACTTACTCCTCACTTTCTTACTGCTACTCTTTTTGTGTTGTTTTTCTTGCTTCCCTCTTTCTCTTTCTTGTTTTTTCTTTCTTTTTCTTCTGTCTATATCGTTGTTTTATTTGTCTCACTGCTTTGTTCTTATGCATACCTCTGGTGAATCCTGTATAGGTTCAGTGACCCTAAATAAAGGCTTTTTGTTGTTGTTGTTGTAATTATGAGATAAATTTATAAATGAAAAATATGCAAAAACAAATAAACAACTATATACATCAGTAAGGCTTTTATTTAACCCTTCTTTCGAGTTTTTCTGATCTTCCACAGAAGTAAAAATGAGAAGGTATAAGAGAACAGATTGTTTTATAGAATGACATTTGAAAATTATCCCGCATGTGTTTCTTTTAAACAAAAAAATCGAAATTTATTTTAAGGAGAAATAACGATTATTTCTAACCTTAGGGATGAACTATGATAGGATAAATTGTGAAGAGTAATGATAAACGGAAAAATAAAATGTCTAATAAAAGTTCTCCTTAAAATAAATTTCGATTTTTCGTTTAAAAGAAACACATGCGGATAACTCTGCCTTTTCCAGTCCCAAGCCCGGATGAAAAAGGAGGAGGGGGAGCAGTAACAAGCTCACTAAAAAACCTGGACTCAGCTAGCCCGGCTGATAGTACCCTGTAAGGGCTCCTAATCCAGGGATACAGGATGAGCAGCGTTTGTACTCCATGTTAGGAGCGGCTGCACATGGCGTCTGTTCCTCATATCAGAGGCGGCCATTTCTTTTGGATCTAAGTCGGCCTGCCACTGAGTAGTGCTCCCAGTCTTAATGACAAAGGCAGACGCATTTTACTTCACCCTGTCATGATGGTTGTCAAACAGACACCATCAAAGGTCACAACTTGATACCCTAATATGATTGAGTGGAAATAAGAAAGAAGAAGACATACGGGATAATTTTCAAATGTCGTTTACAATAATAAGCCGCATTATATTGTATTATATATTCAAAATTAGGATCAGACATAGTAAAGCCACGCTTGATAGATTGAGCAGAAAGTAGGAGAATAGCGTGGTAAGTTTCTTTATTCGGCACTACGAGCTTTCGGGCATCAGCTGCCCTTCATCAGGTACAATGCCTACCTGATGAAGGGCAGCTGATGCCCGAAAGCTCGTAGTGCCGAATAAAGAAACTTACCACGCTATTCTCCTACTTTCTGCTCAGTATTATATATTGTTTTATATATATTTACATATCTATACATATTTACATAAACCTTACAAGAAACTCTTTGTCTCAAGATTTTCTACTTTTTATAATATACTGAACCAGGCGATTTTCCAGCTTATGATAAAAACATAGTTTCGTTTGCGGCACAAATATTTTTTCATTTCTTAAAACGAAAACAAGGTAAGCTTTCGGAGAATATCTTTAATCTCCATCTGTGCAAATATCATGCAATGATTGCCCGAATGTACTTTTTTATATCGTTCTAGGAAATAAAATAATTTTGACGCAATCGAAATGCTGTGTCTTTAATTACATAGCAGGATGAGAGTGTCATATTTATATATATGTTGATCTTAAGAAATGGAAGCATTAAAAACACGAATGTTTCTTTTAAACATAAAAACAAACTTCTACTGTCCTTACTGCGATAAAAAATATATTGGGAGGGCTTGACTCATCAGTGGTAAACCCTCCCAGCGGTTTCGCTAATTTAATCTACCAGAACGCTTCTTTAGAGCTCTAATACTGTATTGGATAATTCTGCTTTTATATGTTACACTGAAGGGTGAAATCTTAGAAATGGTATTTAAGTAAACTATGGACATTAGCTTATAGGACAGTAGAATTATATATAAATATTTGCATCGAGCAATGCTCTTCAGCAAACAATAAGGACAAGGCCAGTTAGGTATAAATTAATTAGAAGTTAATAACGCGACATATATATATATATATAACAAATTAAATCATTAAATCACGAATGTTTCATTGCAGTAAGGACAGTAGAAGTTTGTTTTATATTTAAAAGAAACATTGGTTCTTTAATGCTTTCATGTCTTATGTATAGATAGCGAATTATTGTTTTATATGTTGATCTACATAAAGTGTTTTGGTAGATAAAACTGACTAAACCGCTGTGAGAATTCACAACCAATGTTAGCTATGTTTTTCTTATAGCATCGCAGCAAAAAATTAGAAGGTTATTTTATTCGAGAAAAGTAAAAAAAAACGCTAAATAGTTTCATTTCTTTCGTTAAATGATTAACACCTTCATCAATATAGGAAAAAATATATAAAAATTACAACTAGAAATGCAGATCTTAATTACAAAACCAACAAAATAGTACAAATAATACATAGCTAGAGGGAAACAAATAAGAAATTTATGTATAAAATGAAAGGATTTAAAAGCACGAATGTTTCCCCTATACATAATACAAACTTCTACTGTCCTTACTACGATGCAAAAATATACAGTATTAGAGCTTTGATAAGCGGTCTGGTGGATTAAATTGGCGAAACCGCTGGGAGGGTTCACCACTGATGAGCCAAGCCCTCCCAATATATTTTTTCATCGCAGTAAG